AATCACAAATATATATTCTGATTAGGGCAAAAACCGGAAGGTCGTGGGTACATTCTCCACCACAGACCTAAGAGGATGCCCCATGCCACTACTTCAATCTTGTCTGCAATCTAACATCCTCGATTTCATCAACCGGCTGTCTGGGATACCCCTGCATGAGGCATCGGGCTTGAGGAACTCCACGAAAGAACTCATCACGTGCCGTCCCGAGTCTTCCCTTGGTGAGGTGGTCGACAAGATCGTTAACAATAACGTCCATCGGGCATGGGTTGTAGATGAGTCGGGTTTGCTTGTTGGGCTGATTACCTTGACTGATATTATGAGGGCAGCTCGAGTTTGGTTGCTTTCGGAGGCTGTTTGAGTGGTGTGTTTGTAAGAACTAAACAATGGTGTTTGATAGATCCTGGCTAAGGTTGTTGTTCTGAGTTTGCTGTGTCTGGGTTTTCTGTGGTGTGTGTAATGGTCAGTATTGTGATATAATCTAATAACTGGCTGAAAAGGAGCATCTTGCCTTTTACATTACCTTTTTGAGATGCTAGTGATCAAGCAATTTTGAATGTATGGTAAATTAAGGAAGTAATTAAGATAAGTGGCACCTCTATTTATTTATTCCCTAATAAATGTACATATATTTACACTAAATGTCATACTATAAATTATAAATATAGATAAAAATATGATATTTAATGGGATATTTACACTAAATGTCATACTATAAATTATAAATATAGATAAAAATATGATATTTAATGGGATAAGTATGTATTTTTTTGAAGTAACCATGTCTAATAGTTAAGGGTGTGTTTAGATACAAATATACATGGTCAAAATGAGTTTTTACAAATATATATGCTCAAAATGGTTTTTTTTTTGTTAACTATTAATTATTTTGAGAAAGTTGGTATAGTTAGTTGTTTTGAAAAAGTTGGGATAATTTGTTAATGGAATTTTGAGTTTAGATTAGAAGAATATTAGAACAAAATAATTAAAGTTGATTTGATATAAAAATATGAGAAATGATGTGAAGTGATGGTTAGGTAAAATTATGTGAGCGGATGAAGAGTGAATTAAAGTTGATGTGATACGTAAAAATAATTGATTGATATTATTCAATTATATTTATAATATTTATAATCGTACAGTTGAGTTACACTAGATTTGAATATGAAATGAATATGAGTTATAAACAAACACACCCTAAATAGCTTTAACATCATCATTTTAAGTTTGTTAACTTTGCACTTGGTGGAACTACTACTAGAACAAAAAGATGCCATAGCTTTAACATCATCATTTTAAGTTTGTTAACTTTGCACTTGGTGGAACTACTACTAGAACAAAAAGATGCCATATAATAATATAGAAAAATGTTAAGGTTCCGTTACGAAATTATTCCGTCATGAGTTTTAACCATTGGATCATCAATCATATACTATCTACATCATGATCCATTGATTAAAAGTCCCGACGGAATGATTCCGTAACACGATCGTAGTATTTCCCAATAATACATAGGTACAAGTAATTTTGTTGAAATTGGACATTTGTGAATTGAAATGGTAATAGATGATCGGTGCGTGCATACAAGGGGAACAGTATTAACTACACAAAAATTTCCTAAACAAAAATTATTGTAACAGTAAAATAACACATTTTCATTTTCAGAAACTAGTGCGCATCTGACAGAAAATTTGCAGATGACCCAAGATTTAGTGTCAAAAAAAAAAAAAAAAAAAAGATAATTTCATCATTTAGAGAGACTCATAATACAAAGAGAGGTAACAAACTACTAGACATGGAAAAAGTACACCAACTCCTAGACAGTGGCGAAACCAGCTGGTCATCCCGGGGAGGGCCCAATTTGCCGCGGCGCACCACCCCCACTCCGGCATCGGAAGGACGCTCAAAGGGCTTTTGTGGACGCTCTCAAAAAATTTCGCAGGATATAAAAGAATACTCTAGAGATTTTTCTAAAAATCAAACTAAGTCCGAAATTAAACTGGTATACTTAAACTGAATTGTTTCAACTCGAAAAATACTCGAATTTATACTAATAAAAATCTCGGACTCAATTATAATAATAATCAAGAATTATACTTCCCTTCGAATAGACGAAAAGCTGGAAAAATTGAGAAAACGAAGCTCGAACGATCGAACTCGTTCTCGACAAATTTGCTCCTTTTGATACTATTTAACGCACAAATTCAAACTCTCATAATAAATGCTCGGAACTCCGAAAAATGCGAAATTTGTCCGTATGGAATCGTGCTTGAATTGTCTACACGCTCCAACTCGATTCTCGTTAAACCAAGGTCACACGCAACCTCAAGGAACCCCGCAAAACGGCTTTTTATTCTTCTATTATGCGCACTCGACTTCGAGCTTCTCAAAATAAATGCTCGAAACTTCGAAACGTGAAATAAATTTTACGAACGGCTTCTACTGTTCTCGTGCTTTCAAGAAAGCACTCCCGCTAATTTTCAGCACGCCTAACGAGGGCCGACAGTTACCCGAAGTCTAGACATGAAAATGACAATAAAATCACCGCCACTGCCATTTTTCTCTCAACTTCAGGCTACCCAAAATAAATGGTCGGGACCTCAAAATCATAAATCGATGCCACCAGCGGACTCTCCGTTTCTCGTACTTTCATAAAAATATTTTTCGGTAATGATCGACTCTGTTTTTGAGTTCCGTCGGTACACCGCAAGTTGGCTAATTAACCAACTCAAAATATAATAAAAATGAAAAAATTATTAAATTATGCTGCTGTTATAGTTCTCCTTGTCCCGAAACCAGGATGCCATTTCGGGGAGGGCCCAATTTGCCTTTAAAAAAAATTTTCACGACAAAACCTAGTGGCGCCCCTCCGGCCATGTATGTACCGCATGAAACTGGGGAGGGCCCAACATGCGCACTCAAAGAAAAATCTTCCAGTTCCAGCAAAATCCTCTACCCCTAATTTAAATTTTTATTTTTTTTGGAGGGGCCGACGCCACTCCGGATATGTAAATGGTTTGCCCCTGCTCCTAGAGCACACATAAATGAGAGGAAAATGCTACTGTTCCGTTACGGAACCATTCCGTCGTGATTTGTAACGTTAGATCATTATGTAACTATCGGATAGTTGATCGAACGGTTACAAATCCCGACGAAATAGTTCCGTTACAAAACCGTAGCATCTTCCTAAATCAGAACGTTAAAAATATGAAATCCCCTACTAAGAAAATCCAGAAATAAAATTGAACAGAAATTGCATCAACACAAAGTATCTTATTAGATAATTTTGAGCGATGAGGTTCAGACAAAAGAACTTATAGCAGTCTTGAGGTATATAAATACAACCACACAACATACTCTAAATTCCATAAATATCTCCCATTTAACATTAAATGGCAAAATCTTTTTGTGAACCTAAGCCAGAGTTAAATATTTTTAAAAAAGATAAAAAAAAAAAATCTTGACCTCATTATCAGCAAACCTCCCTACTATTGGAAATCTCCACTTCAAGTCCAACTAAAAAACCCCTAAATCACTACAGAAAATTTTTGTTGGAAGACTCACCCACCACTGCCAGATGTGCGACCCGAGTCGACCAACGGATTAGTTGGGACATAACTCTAAATACAGTGGCTGGTTAGCAAAAAAAAAAAAAACCCTAAACCACCTTATCAACTCATTTGCCACGTACCTTTCTCATTTTTCTCCGTCCATCTAAAAATTTGTGGCCATCAAAATCCACATGAATCCTCCTCAAATTTTCAAGAAACCCCCACAAGTTTATATTATCTATAAAAGCCTCCTAAAAACCAACGAAAAGAAAACATAAGCCAAGAAAATGGCCCTCCTATTGCCCCCACCGTCCAAGCCAAAACCCTCTCAATTCCCACACACCTTCTTCATCAGACCCAACTCCTCTAAAACAGCACACCAACACCAAAACCTCGTAACCATCGCCGCATCAAAAAACAAGGAATTCACACACAAAAAGCTCAAAAATGACATCTTTTTCAAACGAAGGCACATAAAATTCAAAAGGGGCATACCAATTTTGAATGCGGCGTCAATCCCATTATCAGGGGACGAGAAAAAATCGACCTTTGGGAGAATTTTGCTGTCAGATGTGGCGGTGGAGAGGAAAAGGGATGTTTTTGGGGGCAGAGAATGGACTTGTTTGGACGTGGCGACGATTGGGGTGGTAATCGCTATGCATTTGCTGTGTGTTCTTGCGCCTTTTGCTTTCAATTGGGGCGCTTTGTGGGTCGCTGTTGGGTTGTATGTGGTCACAGGGCTTTTCGGGATCACTCTTTCTTTCCATAGAAATCTTTCTCACAGGAGCTTCAAGCTCCCAAAATGG